GTGGTCGGGGTGGGGGGGCTGCCCTGGGGAGGGGAGGGGGGTGCAAGAGTGCGTGTGCGAGAGGTTCGTGTGTCTGTCTGTGTGTGTGTAAGGGAGCCCGGGGCAGGCGGAGCAGCCCTGCGGTTTGGGGGAGAAGGGGGGTGCACCCCACTCTCCACCAGCTCCCCACTGGGGATCCCGCAGCACGTGTCCCGCTGCCCCGTGGGGCTGGGGGCTGGCAGGTGTCGCTGGGGGGCTGCCCCCCGCGCAGGGTGCTCTGGCTGCAGCAGGGGTGCTACCCGCACCCTGTGTCTCGCCCACCCGTGGCTGAGACTGCAGGGGGTGGCCGAGCTGGGGGGGGACGCTCTGTGCCCCCCCTCTTTCTGCTGTCCCTGCGGTCGGGCTGGGAGACAGGAGCCCCTTGGCTCAGCCCTGGCTGGGTCTCGAGCCCAAAATCCCCAGAGAGATGTCTGCGTCGGCTCCTGGGCCCCTCCATGGGCAGCCCGGAGGCAGAGGGCTCAGCCCCGTGGACCCCCAGCTGCAGGCATGGGGGGTCCCCATGGCCCCTTTGCAGGTGGGGGGAGGCTCCCAGGGTGGGAGTCTGGTGTGGTGGGGAGAGGGGGGCTCTGCTTTGCAATTAAGGTACGATTCTCGCCACCGCGCTGCTGGGCTCCCGTGGAGGGTGTGGAGCCCTCGCTGCCCTCCCCCGGGCACACTGTAATGCCTTTTTGTTTCTTTTTTTGGTTTTTTTTTTTTTTTTTTTTCTTCCTCCCCTCCATAGTTTGTGCCATTTATGAGTCATGTATGGTACCAATAAAATGACTTTTCGGTTTGAGGCTGTCCCGAGCGCTTATTTCTGAGCATGGGACCTGGCCGATGCGGGCAAAGCAGAGGGCGGTCCCCTCGTGCCCCTGGTGCCCCGGCTGGGGGGAGCGGGCGCAGGGCTCGCTGTGCTCCCAGGACGATGCTGGCTCGCCTCGGGCTGCTGGTTCCCAGCCAGGCCCTGGCTGGCTCCCTGCTGCGCCGTGGAAAGCAGAAATCCCAGCAAGGACAGGGCACAGGGCTGCTGGGAAACGGCCCTGTCCCTGAGCCAGAGCAAACAAGCAGCTCAGGGCCTGCCCTGACACCAAGGTGACGGGCATGTCCCCTGGGGAGCAGCAGTTGTGGCACGGTCCCACTGTGGGAACAGGGCAGCAGCAGCCGAGTGGCATGCGGGAGTCCTGGGGGGGGCATTGATCCCCCCCCACCCAGAGCCCTCCTCCATGGGGGCTGCCCCGATCTTCCAGGAGCTGGGGGTCCCCATGCCAGCACTGGGGACAAGATGCTGGTCCCCAGTTCCCTCGACCAGCTGGCCCCAGAGATGGCATTTTGTTGCCTCTCCTGGGTGGGCGGTCTGCGGGCAGCCGGGCTCAGCCCCCAGCTGTGGGGACACAGTGGGATTAAACTGCAGGTGCCTCATCCAGTGCAAACCCCCCCAGCCAAACATGCAGGGCAGGGAGGCTGCGGCCGTGGGTAGCGCTGGGGCGAGGGCAGATCTGGCAGCAGTGGGGGGGAAAGGGATGTGGGGGAAAACAGGCTCTTAAAATAGAGCTGATGCAGCAGAGGGTGGGGGCAAGATGGGCCCGCATCTTCAGAGCAGGGGGACAGGGACAGGGCTTGGGTTGGCATCTGCACCAAGGGATGTCACCTTGCCATCCCTTCGCGCCTGTGCGTGATGGGAGCTCGTGGCATGGTGAGCCCGTGGCGTGGTGGCACCCCGGGCTGAGATGTTGGCGCCCTCGCTCCTCAAGTGCACCGGGCTCTGGCTGCCTCAGCGGGATGCCTGGGTTGGAGGGGAGCAATCCCCTGGAAGGCAGGCAGGGAGGGAGGCGGGCGCTGTGCCATGGCACAGAAGAGGCAGGACCAGCAGCAGCCAGCCACCGATGCTCCTGGAGAAGTCACTCCATGAAGCATCCCAGGGATGCCTGGCTGGATCCTGCCCATGTGTGGCTGTGGGAGCTGGGCGCACACCAATTTGGGGGAGCGCAGCACTGAGGGCAGCCGGCCCCATCCTACGTGGGGTCCCTGGTGCCCGGCTGCCCCCGGGAGCTGGCAGAGGGTCCTGATGCAACACTTTGATGATGGTCTGAGCTGGAAAGCTCAAAGATGCCCGTGAAACCCCCAAACCTCCCTCCCCACATCAGCCCCAGCACCGTGAGAAACTTGCTGAAGTTTCTGCTTCTTATTTTTTTTTCTTTTTTGAGGAGGGGGCATCTGCGTCCTCTGCTGCCCTGCCCCAGCACCAGTACCGAGCCGGAGAGTCCCACACGGTGCCACGGCACCCAGCACGGGCCAGGCCAGGAGGAAACCCCGCGGCAGAGCTGCCTTCCTCCCCGTGCCACCTTCGCCCGAGGTCACCGAGAGCAGCGATGCCTGCTTGTGCCGGGGAAAGTTAAGCAGTAACCTGGGAGGTGGCAGCCGGCAAACCTTTGGTGCTGGGGGCCGGGAGCCCGGCTGTGCAAGGGACGTGGGGGTACGGCTCACCCCGACTCCCCGCTGGTGCCTGTCTGAAAGCACATTGTGCCCCATGCGGGGACACGGGGCTGGGGGCACCGGCTGCACCGGGGAGGGAGGTGGGGAGGTGCGGGGCACGGCTGAGAGCTGGCATGGGGGCACGGTGGGCAGCGTGGGTGGCTCTGGGCATGGGGGCCGTGGCAGGGTGGGCTGCTGGAGGGGCCAGCACGGGCAGTCCGGCAGTGCGAGGGCAGAGCTGGGGCTCTGTGGGGCAGAGGAGGGGGCATCACCTGGGCGTGGGACAGAGGGGCTGGGCACCGGGGGCAGGGGGCTCTCCCGGGCGGGACGGGGCAGGGGCTGGGGTCTCTGGGGGCAGATGCAGGGTACTGGCGTGGGACGGGGCAGGAGCAGGGGACCCTCCGGGGCAGCCGCAGGGGGGCGGGGCAGG